TTCATTGAGGTGAGGGGATTGATCTGAGTAGATCAGGGCAAACTCCATTTTGACCCAATACTCCAGACAATCCTCTACTCCTTATAGCACGCAGATACACTTTTTGACCTTTTTTAGAAATTCTGATCAATAAAAGGAGGATTAACACCACCATGGAAGGTAGTCACTCCATTTTTTGGGAGGCCGTCCGATACTTTTTCAGCCGATTAGTGATTTATCACTTGCTATTTTGACGACACGGGTATCCCCCATTCTGCTTATGTGATTATCCAATTATTTTTTCTATTAAATGTCCATTTGTTTATACACTGCATGTTACACTTTCTTCTGTCTTCCGTTCTCTTTTGATCTCTTAGCGTATTTATTGTTGTTCTTCTCAGTGGTCTCATCTCGGTTATTTCCAGTAGACTTTGTAATATGTCTGGGTCAAGTCTTGTTTCTGAGGTACATGTCATTATTAATCTTACACTGGCTTTATAAATTCGTGACTTCATCTTAATGTTGATGTGTCTGTTTCGCCATATAGTGCTATTTAGGCATCCTGTCAGTCTATTTGCTTTTTCTTCTTGATCTCTTACTTCTTAATTCAGGTCTCCAGAGATAAACAGTGTAATCCCAAGTTATTTTATTTCCATTACTTATTCAATACTTATGCCCACAATTTCTATTCAACATCTAATTGGATCTTTTCTGATAACCATTGTTTTAGTTTTCTGAGATGAGATTGTCATATCAAATCATTTTGTTCTTATTTTAAATCTCTGAAGCAGTTTGCACGCTTTTTTCTTCCAAGATGAAGATAGTCACGGTAGACTATCTTCATCTAGGGCTATCAATATTGCGTCATCTATGTAACTTCTACTACTTTTACTTCTTTGTTTTTCCTTCTGTATCCTCTTACGTTGTAAATGCTTTTGATAATTTCATCCATGATTTAAGAGCATAGGGCTCAATAAGTCGCTCTGTTTTATTCCGCTGCCTATTTGTATAGGTTTTGTAAGCTGTCCAATTATTCTTCTTACATTTTTGTTTTTGTAGATGTTTTTAATACTTTTTATAATATTTAAGGAAACTTATTCTACAATGTTTCTACTATTATACAAAAGATGGATAACATCTTTAAGTCTTACTCTGTCTTTTAAATCAATCAGATACAGAAATTCATCATTTTTTGTGATATAAATGTATTTCGGCTTTTCTTTGTTATTCTTTTTTGGAACAGGTATCTTGTGAAGTCATACTGTAATCTTTCGACGTTTTTAACTTTGTGGTATGTTGTGATATTTTGTTATTACATACATATGTGATTTCATTCGGATTTTTCACAATGCCAACCTATGATTGCTTCCGATTTCTTGAAAATTTCGAGAGAAAGAGAACTATTTGAGAGAAATGTAACTCTCTCCTAAACAGAATATGGTCTATCATAGATCTTCATCCTCTAGTATTTTTAAAAGTATATTTGTGTTGTGTTTTGCGAGGGAAAAATGTATTAACAATATGAATTTCGTTTATGTAGCAGAGGTCCATTAGATGCTGATCCTATTAAATCCCTCTTTTAATTTCTGATATTTTCATTATGTCGCTGTTTTATTCCACAGCAATATTATTGCCACCACGGACGTTAAAATTCATATTGATATTTGGACCCTTCGTCCTTTTTGTTTTTGAGTAATTTTTAAGGTCAGCGAACATCTTTTTGATTAAAGGTAGTAGGATAATATTTATTAGTCTGATCTTTGTTTTTGTTGTTAATTTGCTTTTTCTTCCTGTGACTCTTCTGACTGCCGCTCTTGCTGCTTCTTTCCTTTAAACTGTTGCGTGTACATGTCGTGTAAACGTTAGGTCTTTATTCAATGTGAGAACTAGAAAATTGGCTTAGTTTTTTATTCGATGAGTCTGTCTTGTACTATTATTGGTTTTTTGGGTTATCTCTTCTCATTTTAAAGACTACCGCTTGGGTCTTAGCTGGGATTAGATAGACGAGTTATATATTGTATTCATTGCCGTGTCTCACGGCTACATCTAGATATCTATGTTTCAGTAATATAACAGTGTCATATGCATATAGGCTGAGTAGAGTTCCTGGTATTCTTGGAACGTCAGCTGTGTATATGCTATATAATGGGAGTGATAATACTGCTTTATACGTTACTCCGACCTCCTGAGCTTCGTGTTCGAGATTTGGTCCCTTAGCCTCCGATCGACGAGGTACGAGATGACTATTCTTGTTATGGCCCCACTGTATCCATATTCTCTTATTTTATGTACAAGTCCTTGATGCCATACTCTGTTTAACGCTTTGCTTACATTTAGAAAGGTAGCTCGTATGTATTATTGACAGCTGAATCCAGCCGCAACGTATTTGGTTAGTCAGAGTACTTAAAGTTCGCGGAAGTGCTGTGCTCTAAAGCCAAATTGTACTTAAGGAATTATTCCAAATTGATATGCCTCTATTTGAAGTCTGTTTTGTATGACTCTTTCAACTATTTTGCTGACTGCTGAAAGTAAAACTTCCTCAAGTTATTGTAAAATAAAACATGTTCTAAAGTCATTTGCTTGTGAGTCAAAGTTGGTTTGGGACTGTAAAAAATCCCTCAGAAACTTTACGCAATGCAACAAAGTCACTTTGATGTGGGTGTCAGATCACAAGGAAATTACAGAAAACGCTGAAACTGACCGCCTTGCAAAATGCCCATTTCAGGTGCAGAACCTTTCTGTAGGCTATTAAAAACCCATACGAGTCGTAACAAAGTAAATTTATTGAAAATTGAATCTAGATTATCAATTTAACGTTTGATGGAAATATTTTAGTCACACATTAAACTATTTGTCTATAACATAAAAGATTCTATAAAATATTCCAATCTAGAAATATAAATGTCAAATCATTAATTTATTTTACCTTATAGTGTGATAACACTTATATCAAATATTTAATATATTTCCAAATAATCATAAAAGAATAGACTATAGACTTTGTAATCTCTATGATCAAGAAGGAGAGTCCTAGAAAATCATCAGATCTAATCAGATCTATAGATCATCTCGTAAGAGCAGATTAAAATTTATGGATAGCAAGAAAAAAAAAAGAAATCATATCGTCAGCAAAAGAGATAATAACGAAGGTTGTAATTAAGCGACTGAAAACGGGAGAGCTAAAGAGTAATTAGAAGTATAATAGAAGTATACTGTTGAGGCACACTTAGCTAAAATTAACAGAAGAGACAAGCAAGCATTCGTCACAGACATCAAATAAAACGAACTATTTAAAATTATAAGGTCGTGTAGAGTGAATTACAAAAATAACAAAGACATTGTATCATCTTTGGCAGAATCGATACAAATGGAGTAAATGATATTTACACGATTTTGTATCAAATAATTTTACTTAGTATCATGGTATAGTCCTATAGATATCAGATCAGTATCAAATATAAATGCGTCTAAAATAAATTTATTTATTAAAGGAGATCGCGCAAAAAATGTGATTTCCATAAACTTTAATTACAGTTTACGCCGTTACTAATCAAGATTCAGAGTTGGCGCGATAATATGAAATTATTGTAATTTCGAGTCGAGTCTATTGTAAATTTTATTGCATTTGAGTGACAATACATTTTCCATAAAAGTCCGTAAAGTATACTTTATCTTCTTTCAAAAATAATGAAAAATATGAGAACGTCTACTGTATTGATGCGAATTACATTTTGCTGCATTATTTTTATAATATTATCAATATTTCTAATGTTACATCAGAAGTAGGAACTAATGATGGTTTGTCATGCATTATTGTGTAGCATGATAAGATTTCGTCTAAAAATAATTTTACACTTTTCTGACGTCATTTATTGATTAAAACTTTGACGTAAATAAATACAAAACGTGATAGAAATTAATTTCCCACAAATACAATGAGGCAAAGAAATTTTGTTTGGATTAAAGGTAAATAATGGTATGTATACTATTGTTATGTACAGTAAAGATAAATATTATGTATTATAATTTAACTATGCAAAATGAGAATTCTAACAAAGCATTTGATAAGTCTTGATAATTTTTTATACTTAATGCGCTACTATTAATAACTTTCAATTTAATTATATTGTAAACACTTTTTTAATAGGGTGTCATATTTTTGTTGACAAATAAATGTTTACTGCAAATATTGTTTATCTGTTTTTTAGTATCTCGCAAGTTTGTATGATCATAGATTGAAAGAAGATTTATATTTTATTTGGTTTTCTAAATATGTTAACATTTAAATATGCATAGGTACAATAAAATTTTCAATATGGAAAAATTATGAGTAGTTTTCATAGACTTTTTTTTAATTATTTTGGTTTAAAGTTTAAATGATAATAGCATTCTAACATATTTATTGGAAAATTATTATCTTTGGGACAAATTGACTTTACTATTACCCCTTTATCAACCCGGCACTGCATCTAAACAAATCATATCTCGGCTCTGCAAAACGCTAGGTGACGATGTAAAATTGCAAAATCGCGGGTGGCTGTGAGAAACCTTAGGTCCAGTCAACGGCGGCTTGATGGAGAATGATCCGCGAAACGGAGACGGTAAATAGCACCAGAGGAGACGCTGTTGGCGGTCTGAAGCAAAACAGAAATAACGGCCGTTGCCTAGCGACCCTTCCCGAGCATCGATTTGGCCCCACCCTGGCGGCAACGCGGCTTGCGCAAGGGAGGACGGCCGCCCAGTTTCCACGCGTTCGCGACGACACTGGTAAGATTCGGAAGCGTTGCCAAATCCAAGAAATTTATGAAGATCTCTAAGCTGTGATGTTGCCAAATATCGATAAACTCTAAAGGATTATCTGATGTTAAACATATTATTTAGGTATTATATGGCACCTAATTAGAGATATAGTTTTTGTAACTATGATATAAAAATTTCTCGTATTTTCAGAAACTGGACGACCGTTCGTGTGTAATAAAACAAAAGTTAACAAAAAATCGTTTCCGTGCAGTAACACTCACCTCCGTAATTCGGTCTTACTCTTTTATCGTAACTAACGCTGAAGGAATCCAAAATGGCTGAGACGTTGACGTCCCCCACGTAGCTTCCTCCAGCCCCTGGCGATCTGCAACAAAAGATTAATTATATTAGTTAATAATATTTTGTATAATGCCTTGTATAATTTTTTTAATTTCTACAATTACAATTTAAGTAAATACGTAAATAAGTAAATAATATTGATGGAGTTTATCAATCTGTTCAAATCTAAAATAAAATCAATTTTGCTGCTTTATGTATATAGCACGTAGAATCTTATTCCAGTAAAAAATTCCTTTCGCTACTTAGTAACTACCAAGTTACACATTTATTATATTAAATAAAGAGAAGAAATTAAACTTCAGCTAATAAACGACAGTTACATAATTACAGATTCAATAGAAATAGCTAAAACGTTTAACCCGTTTTTTAAAAAATGCCCTTTTAGAAACAATTGCGACCATCCAAAAAAAAGATGCACATACATTTGTAAAAACACTGTTTTGGATGACCAACTTCTTCTGCATCTGTACACTACAATAAAATTGAACGAATTATTAACCAAAAACTAAAAAACAAAAAATCTTAATAGAAATCTCTGGGTTTTTACTAAAAAAGGTTGTTATTTTGTATTAATATTAACATTGTTTTTAACATATTCCGTTAATTTGTCAGTTTCAAATGGTGACTTTACAGAATATATACAATGTGAAAAGGTACTACTAATTCAGAAAAAGGTGACCCTACACAAGGGAATAATTACCGTTCAATAACCAATTCTTCGGTATTTTCAAAAAGCTCACAGCTATTTACAAAAACTAAATTCATCTTTATATCATTATAAAATATCATCTTTTATCTCAGCGCTGCTTTCTTCTTCTTCTTCTTCTTTTTATATAGACATGTCTCTGTCTGTTGCCGTCTTTACTACTCTATTTGTTGTCAATATTCGGCTTATATAATCGTTCTATTCTACTCTTCTATTTTTTACCCAGTTTTTGATGTTCTCCACTTTGCATCTATGTCATTTATTTGTACTTCTAGCTCTGTCCCATAGTGTTTTACCATCAATTTTTCTAAGTGTTTTTATCTCTGCTGTTTGTAACATCCTTTTTGTCCTCTCTGTCTGGTCTTGTTTCTGCCGCGTATGTCATTATTGGTCTAATGACTGTTTTGTAAATTCTCCCTTTCGTTTCTTTCCCGAAATTTTAATTTTTCCATATTGTTTCATTTAGGCAACCTGCGGCTCTGTTTGCTCTATTTACTTAATCTTTCACTTTGGTTTCGAGCTTTCCGTAGCTAGATAATGTGATGCCTAGATATTTAAACTCCATCACTTGTTCTATGTTATTGTTATCTGACTTTCCAGCTCCAATTTACACCTTAGTAAATTTGCTGTTGTAACCATGCATTTTGTCTTTGTTGGGTAAATTAACATGTTAAAGTTTCTGGCGGGTATATTAAATTGGTGCAGCATACGTTGTAAATTATCTTCATTTTGAGAGAGTAGTATTGCGTCGTCTGTATAGCAGATTATTTTAAGTTGTTTTTCTCCCATTTGGTATCCTTTTTTAGTTCTTACTTTTTTTATTACATATTTCATCCATAATCAGGTTGAACCAAAGAGGGCTTAGGGAATCTCTCTGTCTTATTTCATTGCCAGCTTCAATAGGCTCGGTTACTTTATCTTCTACGTTTACTTTTATTGGGTTATTTTGGTAGATATTTTCGATCGTTTTGATTATTCCAAGAGGTATCTTTCTTGCATACAGTAAGTGGATAACGTTCTTTAATTTGACCCGGTCAAATGTCTTTGTAAGGTCCAAGAAAAATAGATATGCTGGTTTGTTTTATTCTAATGATTTCTCTTGCACTTGCCTCATTATAAATATAGCGTCAGTGCATGATCTTCCTGATCTAAAAACTTATTGTTCTTCTGCTTGTGCTATAATTTCATTCAATTTAATTTATATCACTTTATTGTTATTTTTAGTGTTGTGTTTAACAAATTAATTCCTCTGTAACTTTTCGGGTCCGATTTGTCTCCCTTTTTGAACAGAGGTATTAGAATTCTTGATCTCCATTCTTGAGGAATTCTGTTTTGTTTTATTAGTGTTTGAATTAGTTTTAATAGTTGTTTGGCCAGATCTGGTCAACCGTACTTAGGAGTTCGTTCGGTATTATGTCCTCTCCTGATGATTTTCTATTTTTTTATTTCCTTAATGCTCCCTTTACCTCTTCGCCCAATATTTATTTCTTCATTTGTCGCCACCTCTGGTGTTGGTGGTTCATCATTGTCATCTTTAGCAAACATTGATCGAAAGTAGTCTACTCATGTTTCCTTCTGAATGTGTTTCGTTTTTATTAGTTCGTTCATCTCTCTTCTTTGTGCTCTGATATTCTGCATATATTTTTTTGTGTTCCGTAGAAATTGTATTCCATCTGCTTTAAGAAACTCTGCCAGTGTTCCTTTTATATTTGTCGAACTAAGGTATTTGTTTTATTTCTGTTGTGTTTGTGGTGTTCTGTATTGTAAAAAAGCTTTCGTCTTTTCTTTTCATTTTGTCTTTACTTCCTCTCTAAACCATGAGGTTTCCTTTTTTGATATGTTAGTGTTCGTTAGTTTACTCTCTCCAAGTGATTCTGTTGCTGCGTTAATTTTATTATTTTTGAGTTTTTCTCAGCATTCCTCGATGTTATCGTTTTCTAATAATTCATTTACAGCGATTTTCTCTGATATTCTTTCCCTGTATAAAAATTCCGTTGATTCCGTATTTAGTCCTTCGACTTTGATTTTTGTTTGTATTGGCGCCGCTCTCTTGGGTAGGAAGTATTTCGGGATTATTCTTATTTTACATAATACTAAGCTATGGTCGCTACCTACATCCGCTGAGTTGAGGCATCTTACGTCGATTATATAGATCTTTGTCCACGGGTGTTATTAAATGTATGTTTGTGTGGGTCTTTGTGGTCATAAAACATGTTGTTTATTCTAAGTTAGTTATTCTTGCAGAAGTTAATCATCAGTTCTCTATTTTCGTTTTTAACATTTTCGTTAAGTTTTTGTATTATGCCGGGTATTATTTGGTTGCCTATTCGAGCCGTAAAATCCCCCAATATTATCATCTTTTCTCTGACTTTTGCATTGCTTTCGACTGTGTCAATCACGAAATTGCTTAAAGACTAGATATTAATATACCGTACCTGCTCCAATTCGCAGGGAAAATATATATTTTAGGTCTCGTAGTATAATGGGACAAATACTTTTTAATATATTACCAGTGCATACAAAATTGTGTAAGAGCATAACAAGCTTTAAGATAAATTTAAAATAGTTTTTTAATGCACACTTTTTTTATTCAATTGAAGAATTTCTTTAATTTTAAATGTTATTCTTTTTTTTGTTAGTTTGTGTTAGTGTGTTTTTTGCTTGTTTGATTTATTTAATTAACTATAACTAACCAATTCAACAAACTGTTTTTGTCTAAAAGGAAATAGACTATTTACTTAAATGTTTTATTGAAAAACTTATTATGTTGACTAGATCAATTTTGACGATTCGTTAGTTACCTAAAAAAGTGTCTAAATGATAATTGACTTTAGCTGATAAAAGTTATAAAGACTTTTCATTAAATATCTCTTTGTATGACAAGTTATATATTTAGATAGGTAAACTTTTTATTTTGTTAAACCATTATAAAATTAATAATATCGTATTTAACGCAATATATAATAATGCAATAGTTTTCTTAAATAGACAAAAGTTGAATAAGATTTGAAGTGTGTATAAGTGTATGTGTTTATGTGTGTGTTTTTATAGAGAGATACCAGCGTCGGTATATAAACCTCAAGATTATTTTACTGAATTTTTTATTAGAATTTATCGCAGCTTTACTCGAAATTTCTTCCTGTAAATAGCTAACGTTGGCCCCTGTAAAGAAACTCATTGGAAAAATTTTGGCTTAAGGCCATTCGAGGGTCCAGATAAATTCCGACTTCATCTACTAACTGATCGAGGTTAAATATTAGCGATATCTTTCCTGGAAAGTACTCGGATTTATTTCTTCTTCCAATGGATATAAAATCCAAAAGTGGAGGTAGGAAAGAGAAACGCTTATTCGACAGAAAATGTTATTTAAAATACATGCCTACGAATATTTTAGCAGAATTGTTGGCATGGTAAAGCTATTACTTCATGTAGAATTAGCTTGTATCCACTATGTTGAATAAGCGTTATAAACTAAGGCGGAACTTAATTTACACTTTTAATGCATACATATATTTTTATTACAAATGAAAATTTATCTTAGAAAGCCTAAAAATGGATAGATCCGTCAACCAGTTTACAACAATTATAATAAAGCGGAAAATATGGTTATACCGTGCGATTTAATAAGAACAACCACCTCTAACAACTTTTTGAACTTGAAAAAGAAACATGATCAGATAGGAAAATTTACTAAACCATAGTATTCTGTGGCATAAAAATTTCGAACTTGGTATAATAACTCTTCCGGTGCCAGTCATCTTTTGGATTTTTTTTTCCATAAGAGATTGTTTGTTTGAGCGCAGTTTCGTCGGTTCTACTGAAGGTTTTGTTTTAAATCGGTAAAAAGCATGATTAAAATCGAAATTATTACAGTTATTTCAATTATTAAAGACAATGTAAGAAATTTCAAGTAACAACTAAGACAACGTACTAAAACACAAACAAATTTCTGAACTGATTTTATTACAAAAAATATTTCTGTGACTAAATGCTCATTGTAACTTTATCTCGTTGTTAATTTACTTTAGATTTTAAGTTACTCCTTAGAAATAATATAATGCAGTGAAGTCATGATATATTGGTGATCACGTGTGCCTATCGTTCAGTCAATCTTACTGAAAAAATAGTGTAGCTATTATTATTAATAGCTTATAAAACGAAATATGGAAGGAATACCTAACAGAATATATTAACGTAATTTTGTCTCGCTGAAATA